GGGGGGGGGGGGGGGCGCCCCCCGCCGTGGTGATCGCCGTCCTGGCCCGCAACGCCCAGCACTCGCTGCCCCACTACCTGGGGGCCTTGGAGCGCCTGGACTACCCCGCGGAGCGCATCTCCCTCTGGTGAGCGCGGCGTCCGGGCGGGGGCCTGCAGGGCAGAACGCCCCTTCTGAGCTGCGCAGCCGCCTGCTGGGTTGGGGGTCCCCCTCCCCCAAGTCGGCTTTGGGCTCTCTTGAACTCTGGGCGGATGTCGGGGGTGCCCCTGCGTGAGTCGGGAGGGTCCTTTGCGTCGGGGGCCGGCTGGGAAAAGGCTTGGGCTCCTTTGAAGCTCCCAGGCTGGGGACCCCCCTCTGGGCTGCGCAGGCCGGGGCCAAGGGGGACGCAGTGCGAGACCTCCAGAGGGCACCGCGTCTGAGGACAGCGGCCTCCATCAGGAGATCTGCGAAACCGGTTTGGAACAGGTTTCTGCCCCAAGTGCTGATGGACACAGGTTTGGGGGTGCAGAGTGATCATTGGGATTTGGGGTACCCAGGGGCGTCTTTTGCTGCGGTTTGCCACGTCGTGGTTGTTCCTCGGAACTTATTTTGTTCCTCCTCTCTCCTTCCTTGGACTCACCACGTTCCTTTGGAATTGGCCTCCCTACAGCTGGAACTGCCCCTCCTCTCCCCCCCACCGTTTGACCCCTTGCAGATGCACCAGACTGCAACTCCCATCCTCCCTAATCCCAGCACGATGGGAGTTATAGTCCAAGACCTCTAGACCGTATCAGGTTGTGGGCTGTTGTCCTGTCGGGCGAGGAGAGGGGATGCGGACCGCTTTCTCGAAAAACCGAATGCCGCCGCGCGTTCCGTGTGACATGGGTCAGAACGTGCCTCGGTGGTCTTGAGGAGCTGAAGGCTGCCAACAGATGAGCCCCTTCCGCCTGGAACCAGAGGGAAAAACCCTCAAAGCTCCTTCGTACACTTCAATTGCGATCAGTTCTCTTACTTACAGCCAGAACCGTTCTCGATCATGGTTCTTAGATCTTCCGAGCTGAACCAAGGTACCAGCCCTTTGAGGTAGGCCAGTCAAGCAACAGAAGATGCTCTTTATCGTGGTAGGGTGTAGTAAGAGAACCTGGAAAGCCTCTCTGAGTTGTCCTCCGCTGCATCTTACACCGAGCGAAATCAAGAGACAGTTCCTTTGAGTTTCCTTCTCACGCGTTCCACTTTCTCGGGACTGAGGAATCTTCTCCTCCTCCATTGGCTCAACGCGCCTTGCCAAGACCAGGGGGCAAGGTTTTGAGCCACACTAGTCTCTTCTTCAGGGGCTTCCGATTCATTCTGGCAGCATGCTTGGGGAGGACGTTTTCGCCTTATGCCAGACTCCTCAGAGTAAGTGGCACAACCGTCCTGCTTTTCCAGGCCAATTTATTGGCCATCCCTCGCCTTGCCCGTCCCTCGAACAGCTACCGGCCCCCGGCCCCGCAGGGACGGCTCACCTGCTTCTCCAGCTGTACCTGGGCCGTTGGCGAAGACCGAAGGATTCCCGTCTGCTGTGTTCCAAAGCTTATCCCTGGCCAGAGACGGGAACTTGTAGAAAACCCGACACCAGCAATGTAATAAGGATGGTGGGTGGTTTTTATTTAAAGGAGAAGATGAGCTTTTTCCCATCTGTAGGATCTGTTAAAGCAATGCGTGCAATTTTGGGATGTCTCCGTCCAGTTCCAGAAAGTCAGGATCCAAGATTTGAGTCTGTTGTGCATTAACTTCTATTCTTTTTTCTTCCTTCCTTCCTTCCCTCCTTCCCTCATCTTCCTTCCTTCCTTCCTTCCTTCCTTCCTTCCTTCCTTCCTTCCTTCCTTCTTCCCTCTTCCCCCTTCCCCCTTCCCCCTCCCTCCCTCCCTTCCTTCCTGATGCTTTTCATTCTGTTTCCCCCACTTCCCCAACATTTGGGCCTTGCTCTTTCCTGGCTCGTTCACAACCGTTGGAGAGAACTTTGCTGCTGCAGGGGCCCCATCTCCAGCATCCTCCATAAGGGAAGGATGGCAACTCCCATCATCCCCTACCCCTTTTGCCCATCTGTCATCTTACAACGGCATGATCTCGAGGGATTCTTAATTTCCACTCTTTCCTGTTTCCGTGTGGCTTCGTAGTGCCAATGGTACTGCAGTCGCAGCGTTTTTAAGCTGGCTTGGCACACTGTTCTTTCGCGGGCGAGGCTGCCCTTCACCGGCCCACCAACCAAGCAGCAAACACAGGTCCTAACAGAATGAACAAGCCACGTGCTATAAATAAGTTCAGAGTTGATGTGTTGGCATGACTGAACTCAGCTTGAGAGGCATTTGGAAAATAAACATGTAATTTCAAGGAACTGGCTGAGCCAGGGAACATCTTGGCTTGTGATAAAACAGCAGCGTCTGCTGATTTGCTAGCCAGTGCAGGGAGAAAAATGAGCAGGATTCAGAGATGAAGAACTTCAAATATAGGGGGTTTGGTTAAAGAGAAGAAAACCCCTTGGAAACTGACATCAGTTTGGTTTCTGGCACGAGGGGGAAGGGAGTGGCTTCCGTGAGGGACCCCGGTGAGGTTGTTCAAAGGCGGTGGGTTGGAGACCTAGCACTGTAATGTTTGGACCGAAATGTCTTCACTTGGTGGTGACCTCTCCATTTTCCATGCAGTGATCCTAGGTTTGGCCACAATGAAAGAGAACTAGGGGAAAAGTGCTGGGCAGCTCCCATAATCCCCAGCTAGCTGATTATGAGGCTTGAAGTCCAAAGCTTCTGGGAAGCGGGGGGCTCTGATCTCCCATAATAGTTCTCACGGTGTTTTTTTAATCTCCGGCTTCCTATTTCGTGGGGCTGTTTTTTTATGCGTCTTGACCTGAGGCTACCCCAATTTTTTATCGCGAATTTGACAAAGCCTCTGAGAAAAGCTTTGCGTGATCAGCTTTTGGGAGGAACCAACGTCCCCTTTGCCCCCCGCCAGGTGTGCCACGGATCACAACGTAGACAACACGACGCAAATGCTGCAGGAATGGCTGAGCGCCGTGGAGAAAGATTACCGGTCCATTGCGTGGAGATCTGTGGAAGAGCCCAGGTACGCTTGTCGGAGGCCTTGAAAGGGAACCTCCATGTACAGAGGCAGTCTACCCCTCCCCGATCTGAGCGCCTCCGTCTAAACTTTTCACTTTGACGCACGGAGAAATTCCGTGCCCTGTTAAAAAACAAAGAAGTCGAGTTTTCTTTTCCCCCCGAGGCGAAATAGCCGTAACTCCTCCCCAGCAAAATGTGGAATTTTACGCTTTAGGGAAACTCTACGAATGTTCCCTCTGAGTAGCCCGTCCGTTTGGACCGTTCTGCTCTTCCTTCCAGCTCTTATCCGAACGAACTGGGACCCAAACATTGGACCGAGCCGCGTTTTGAACAGATGATGAGGTTAAAGCAGGAGGCTCTCACCTTCGCTCGATCGCAAGAGGCCGGCTACATTTTGGTAAACCTGACCGGTGGGCTAAATTCAGCCAAGGGCAGGGGGGCTGGGAAGCTCAGCCCTTGATTTAGCCTGGTGGCTGAACCACCCCATCCCATTCAACCATGATTTGGTTTATTCTTCTGGGCTGTAGGGAATTCCAACTCAGGGAATTTATGCAATGCTTGCGCTTCTCTGTACACCGATCTCCCTGCCAGCTGCTTGCAACCCTAAACTGTAATTTATTTCGTTTTCTCACCCTCCCCCAACAAACCATGGGCATTTCCCTCCCTCCCAAGCCAGCATCCTCCATGTTCTGCACCCCTTCTCAAAAAGCCATGGTTTCGTGTCTCTCCTTGGTGATCAGAGATGTTTGTGCAGGACTCTGCGGAGAACTTACTCCTTGCTGAGGCTCACCGTCTCAGCCGGCGTGTCTTCTTGCCCCTAGTTTGCAGACACGGACAGCATCTTGACCAACAATCAAACACTGAAGTTCCTCATTGCCCAAAACAAGTCTGTCGTGGCACCCATGATGGATTCTCAAACATATTATTCTAATTTCTGGTGTGGGATCACGCCACAGGTAAGCCAAGTTCTCTGTTGCCATGCTCTGTAGAGCATTGAGATGATCTGTTTCTGTTCATCTGAGCACCAAGCCAGGATTTGTGCAGCCTCACAAGTAACCAACCCTGGTTGAATTTGGGGCAAATACCCCCAATCTGAAATTGGGGGGTGGGTCTTCCTGGATTCTGAAACTTGTCTCATTTTAACGAAGTGCTTCTCCAGTAGTGTGAACCTGAAATCCTGGTTTCTTCCTGATTTGGGGTACCTCTTGCGAGGGACAGTCCAGAAGGATGGGAAGCGAACCAAGAATTTGCAAAAACATGGCAGGATTTCTTTGCTCTTTGGCGAGACGCACGTGGGTGAAAAACCATGGTTAACGCAAATGTTGTTTCGGGTTAGGTGCAAATCCCAGCCTTGTGTTTTCTGGGCAGTGAAAGCCTTTTCTTCCAAAGCATGATGAAATCATTTGGCTTAATTTTATGTGTATTTATTTGCTGGCGTTGGGTGGATAAATGGTTCAGTGGGATTTGGGTTTGAAGGATCTCCTCCCCGCCAGGGTTATTACCGACGGACGGCGGACTATTTCCCCACCAAGAACCGCCAACGTCTCGGGTGTTTTGCCGTGCCCATGGTCCACGCGACCTTCTTGATCGACCTGCGGAAGGACGACACAACCGATCTCGCCTTTTATCCGCCCCACCCCACCTACTCCTGGCCGTTCGACGACATCAACGTCTTTGCCTACTCGTGTCAAGTTGCAGGTGGGGACAGAACGATGCTCCCTCTTCGAATTATGATTGAGACAAGTGAAAGAACTTGGGGGGGGGGACCCGAAGTAAATCATTCTATTAAAAGCAATTGCTTTTCAGACTGCAAGGAGAAAGCAAAGCCAACATTGAATAATGTTGTTTTTAGGATTAACCCGCAGGGCACGCGGATGAGCACGCAAGCTTTCAAGTTCTCCGGAACTTTTAAATAAAAGCTTATTGGGTGAGAGATTCCCCGAAAGCAGGAAAGGGGAAGGAGCAAAGAAACCCCCAAATGATACCAGCGTTTCAGCCAAAGTCAGAAATGTATTTGTCTTTCTCATCCAGGGGCCCAGATGTATCTGTGCAATCAGGAGCGGTTTGGGTACATCAATGTCCCATTGACATCGCGTCAGACATTGGAAGAGGAGCGTGTCCAGTTTGTGCACCTGATCCTGGAGGCCATAGGTCAGTCGAGGGGCACAGTCCGGCCAGCCCAAGGATCTGTGCATCCTGCTGGGAGGCCCCAGAAGGAAGGAGTCCGCTTGCTTTTGGGGTCTGGCTGGGAGTTTTAAAAAACGAGCCAGGGTTAATATCAACCAAGGTTAGGCTGGGGTTATGAGCACTTGCCCTGAACTCAGAAGCAGACCTGAATAAATAGCAGGATTGGGGGGGGGGGGCGGATTTGGACTGACACCCCTAACCCTACAAACCTTGAATCTGCAATTGCGCAAAAGTCTAGCCTTGGTTGATCCTAACCCTGGTTGGCTTTTTAAATTATTCTCGGCTAGGTCTTTCTCAGCATGTTTTGCCTTGGGCTGGCTGATGGTTCAGGGCGTTGTGCGAAGCCAGAGGGTGGATTCATTCAGAACCCTGATTGAGGGCATGGTGCAAACGACGAGCTTGCTAAGAAAGGAAGTGAGATTTAAACTTCTGGTTTTCTCTCTGCATGTTTGTCTCGCTTGCAGTCGATGGGCCTCCGATGGTCCGTTCCAGGCACATCTACGTCCCCCCGAAGCGTCCCACCAAGATTGGGTTTGATGAGGTGAGGGAATGAATTGCAAGCCGAGAGGGGACTAATTCCTGCATCGGGCGGGGGGTTCAGCCAGATGCCCTCTGAAGGGTCTTCCGACTCAGGGCGTCGTCCCCTGTTCTGGCAGGTTTTCCTCATCAACCTGGCCCGACGTCCGGACCGGCGACAGCGCATGCTGGATGCTCTCTTCGAGCTGGAAATAGACCCCTTGGTGGTGGACGCCGTGGACGGAAGGTGGCTGCCGGATAACTTTTTCTTCTTAACCCTGCAAGGGGGTCCCTGACTTCGGCTGCCTTTCCAGGAAAACAGCTTTAGGGTGGTGGTGGCCAAGAGGCAGATTGCGAGGGCGAGCCTCGTCAAGGAACACCTCTCTGGGACAGACCCTCCAGCTTCAGTGGCAGCCTACCCCTAAGCATTGCTCGGGTGGCAGATGAATGCGTCCCAAATTCCCTAAAACCCCACCAAAGGCCCGATTGCCTCTGGTTTGGGCTACATCCGGATTGCTTTCCCCAGATTCTCAACTCTGATTTTTTTCTCTGCCAGCGCCCTGAATAGCAGCAGCATCAAGAAAATGGGCATCAACTTGCTCCCGGGATATTATGACCCCTTTTCAGGCAGGACCCTCACCAAAGGGGAGGTTGGCTGTTTCCTCAGCCACCACCATGTGTGGAAAGAGGTAAGACCCAGGCAAAGGTTGGGAGGGGTTTAAACCCGGTTCTCCTTCCTTTTTCAAACCAAGCACCTCCTTGGTCTTTGAGGCATCCTGATGGCCAGGATGAAGAAGTCAGAGCTAAACTTGACTTAATTTAAAAGTACGTTTAATATTGGGGAAAAACACTGCTAATAAGATTATTCCTGGTCTATTTAATAACTTCTCCCTCCCGTCCTACTAAACATGATCATTCAGCTTTAACTTTGGCAGAGCTCCAGAGCCAGGCCTCAACGTTTAAACCGTATTTATTCTACTCTTCAATTTCTAACCAAACGAGATCCTCCCAATTCTCAGGTTTATCCTCTGAGCAGGCACGGCATGAAAGGAAAGCAGGCTGAGGAGGGGAGAGGAAGTGCTGCGGCGAGGTCTGTGCCAGAGCCCTCCGATCTCCACTGATGCCTGTGCGTGTTGTTCAGATCGTCGAGAGAAAGCTGGAAAAATCGCTCGTGTTGGAAGATGATGTCCGGTTTGAGGCTTATTTCAAGAAGCACCTTTTGAGGCTGATGGAGGAGTTGGAGCAGGCGCAAACGGACTGGGAGCTGATGTACGTGTCCCATGGCTTGTGCGCGTTTTGCAAGGCGCAGCTTCACCTGGGCTACGGCCCTTCTGCCGACGGAGGTGGGAGGAATTTCAAGAATTGCTTTCCTATTTTCCAGCTACCTGGGCAGGAAACAAGTAAACTCGGACGACGAGGAGGCGGTGGCCGAAATCCACAACCTGGTGGTGCCCAAATATTCCTACTGGACGTTGGCCTACGTCCTCTCGTGGCGGGGGGCTCAAAAGCTGGTTGAGGCGCAGCCCCTCTCCAAAATCCTGCCCGTGGATGAATTCCTGCCCATTATGTACGACAAGCACCCCAAGTAAGGATTTGCCCCCTCCCCACCCCAACTGGAAGCAGCCCACCTTCTTGATTGAAATGTCGATGGCTTAACAAGGCACCGTTCCCAGCGAATGTGTTGGCAAGGAAGGGACATGACCACGGCCATTGTCGTTGCTGAGTTGGGACGTGGTGATTAGCTGGTTGGTTAGCTTTTGGGGTGGGGGCTGAAGATGGGGGAAATCAATGTGCGAGTCAAATGGACAGCTGACTGTTACAGCACAGAGTCCTCCATTCAGGAGTGCCAGCCGGTAAGCTGGACCCTCTTACGCGACCCTCCGTTCCGTCTTCTGCCTTTTTGCATCTGCTCCACAATTTTTCTTTTTTCAGATGCAAGCTGAAACCCAGGATATTTTGCATCCTGCCAGTTCCTTCTCCCTTAGATATTCTGCTGTTTAAAAATCCACCTAGAGACTGAGAATTTGCATTTAGTCAGAGTCAGGCCCCCTTTCTCGGAGAAACCATTTCATAAAAGAAGTTCCACCCGCTGCCAAAATCTCCCCCATCTTATCACAATGGCTCCTTCCTTCCTTCCTTCCTTCCTTCCTTCCTTCCTTCCTTCCTTCCTTC